TTTATATATATATATATAAATCTATATACAATATCTTTATACATACGTGCGAGATATTTTTTATATTTCTATTTACAAAATTTTTTGTGTCAAAAGTAGAAAAGTACAAAAGAAAAGCATGAAAATAAAATCGATCTATAATAAACAAAATCTATTTCGTTTATATCTTCAATAGAGATATAAACGATATTTTTGTGCCAAATAATGTATAATTTTAAATATAATTTTAAATATGTACACAGTGCGACAAATATGTTCCCGGACACGAACCACATCTCACCAATGGCGACATCTGTGCGTTCAAACATGCATTTTAAAGGTTGAACATTTTCCTATCATCTGTCAAAGTTTCATTCATTTTGGTTGACATATAACGAAGATATGACAGTTCATGTTAAACAAGATTTTGATCGAGATAGAAATTTTAATATGGAACAAAGAGCAGTGATTAAATTTAATGCAAAACTTGGTAAAAGTGCATCAGAAACATTCCGATTGATGCAACAAGTTTACGGCAGTCAATGTCTAGGTCGTACAGCTGTTTTTGAGTGGCATAAGCGTTTTTTGGAAGGCAGAGAGACCCTTGAAGATGATAAAAAATCAGGACGGCCAATTTTGGTTCGAACACCCGAAATGATCGAAAAAGTACGTGATTTTGTTGCAAATGATCACTATGCATCATTAAAAATGATGGGGGAGGCTTTAAATATCAGTAGAGAAACGATTCGAACCATATTACATGAAGATTTGGGTAAAATGAAGGTTTGTGCGAAATTTGTTCACATTAAAAAGTGATTAAAAATCAATGAGAATCAATCATTCCAGAGACATCGTTGCAGCCGCAGAAAATAATCCAAACTTCCTAAAATTAATTGTTACGGGTGATGAAACATGGTGCTTTCAATATGATCCAGAAACTAACTGACTGCGTCAAAGTGCGGAATGGAAGTAAAAAAATTCACCATAAGCAAAAAAAGTTCCATCAAAAATCAAGACAATGCTCATCACATTCTTTGATAGTAAAAGTATTATCCATAAAGAGTTTGTTCCAACTGGCCAAACAATTACTGGTGCATATTATCTCGAAGTTTTAAAACGATTGATGGGCAGAATTCGTCGTATTCGCCCCGAATATCATGATCCAGAAGATTGGTCTTTGTTGCATGATAATACACCGAGTCACACTTCATTGACTGTTCGTCAATTTTTGGCTCGAAATCGTGTCTTTGTGTTAAACCATTCACCGTATTTACCCGATTTGGCCCCTTGTGACTTCTCATTATTCCCAAAATTGAAATTGAAATTGAAAGGACGCTTTTTTGATGACATTCCGACCATCCAATCAGCTTCTACACAGGCACTAGAGGCAATTCCGTAAACTGAGCTAGAACATGCATTTGAATCACTATTGAATCGCTGTAACAAGTGTAATAAAGCCAGAGGAGAATATTTTGAATAATAAAACCAAAAAATATGCATATTTGTTGTTTCAATTATGATTTTCAGGCCCTGTCCGGGAACATATTTGTCGCACTGAGTATATAAATGTACATTATTTATTTACTGGCTTATTTTATTGATATTTCCCATAACACAATTAGCTCACTTTGCTCGATATGCCGAGAGTATTCCAGACGGCGAGACGAGCACGGCGTTGTCCGAGGCGGCAAGAAAGAACAATGTCTATGTGATTGGTGGTACAATACCGGAGAGAAACAACGACAAGTTATACAATACTTGTACCGTATGGGGACCAGATGGGAAACTCGTAGTTATGCATAGGAAGGTTATTAAAATCGATGTTATACATTATATTATTGGTACATATACAACATAAAATGTTCTCTGTAAATGTGCATGTGCGTATGAGTGCGAGAGGTGGTTTTCTTTAAAATATTTTAATATACGCGCGCGCGCGCGCGCGCGCGCGTGTGTGTGTGTGTGTGTGTGTATACAATATATGTATATACAATACATATATATATATTTTTTTACAAGGATATATTTCTTGTATATCTCTTTTTCAAAAGTACACATATATTCTATATATTCTAAATATTTCAATATATTTTCAGCTATTAATTTAAAGTAAAGAATTTACTTAAAATAAAAGTTGAGAAGATGAGAAATATGTGTACAGTATATAAATAGATTTTTTTCTACTCGAAACATATACTATATGAAACAGGAGGAACACTTTAAGCATTTAATTTCTTTTTCACAGATGCATTTATTCAACATTGACATTAAGGGAAAAATTACTTTTCGCGAGAGTGATTCCCTATCCGCCGGCAATTCCCTTACCATCTTTGAAGCGAAAGGTTGTAAAATCGGTATTGGCATTTGCTACGATATCAGATTTGAAGAAATGGCACGATTATATAGAAACAAAGGTAAATT